TATACGGAGTTGCTGCAGCGGCCTGGGTTCCAATCCGACCTGCAGCCCTTTGCTGTGTGTCATCCCCTGTCTCTCTACAGCTGTCTATCAATACATTTATATACAGTATATATAAATAACAAAGTTTAACGATAACAATTTAGATATGATGATAAAGGCTTTGAGCGTCTGGAAATGTTTGGTTTAGGCATGCTTGAAAAAGTTAAAAGGCTGTACGAACCCTGTGTGATACGTTTGTAACTATAAATATTAATATCATGTTGTGTCTGTACTCTGCTGTTGAGACTGTTCCGTTTGCTTTGCTGAATAGAGACGGTCTTTGTTGGCATTGCCAATCATGTTTAAAGCTGCTGGTGAGCTTTCCCACCACCCGTCACAACAACTCTGCCATCTTTCACTGTTGCTACTTGACTTAAATAACTGTTGCCGGGGACAACAAAGTGCCGGGTTGCAGATATTTATTTAAAATGTATTGTTTTCTTTCCTGTAGAAACCATGGGATGGGAGACACCAGCATTAAATTTGAGGTGATCCCAGGGAAAAACCAGAAGAGTGAATATGTGATGACATGTGGGAAGCACACTGTGCGTGGCTGGTGTAAGTAGACCGTAATCCCCATCTATTCGCGTGGTGAGACCGAACCAGTCAATGTGTACAGCTGAAGAGTTGGGTGTCTGTTTTTTAATTACCATGTTCGTTTTGTTTCACCTTGTGGAGCTTACTAACCTCACAGACTAGTAACGTACATGTAGCTTTCAGTGACACGTTTTGTACATTTGCCACCAGGCAAAAACAAGAGGGTTGGCAAACAACTAGCATCTCAGAAGATCTTGCAGATGCTTCATCCCCACGTCAAGAACTGGGGCTCACTGCTGCGCATGTATGGCAGAGAGAGCAATAAGATGGTCAAGAAGGTAGGTACACTCTTATAAAAAACGCTTTTGTATTGATGGAAGAGTTTGGCTATTTATTTTGAAGTTTTGTGTTGAGCTTTATTTACAGTAAAAGAAAAAAAAACCTTAATTCATCGATCAATTTGGTTGTGAGGTTTGTGGATTGTAAAGGTCAACAGTAGGACCTGGCAACAATTAAACGTCTTTCATCATAAAACTGTCACTGTTATGAGTCAGCTATTAGGCCATTTCACTTGGAATACTCGACTGGTGTGTTTTTTTTGTTAACTTTACTACCTGCCACATGACAGTTTTGAGTTGGTGATATGCTGGTAATGAAGATGGTTCTTCATTTTGCAAGCTCGTCTGCATGAGTTTTAAAACCACTGATCATTTGCAGGAGAACTGTGACAAGAGTGTGATCGAGCTCCAGCAGTATGCCAAAAAGAACAAGCCAAACCTTCATATCTTGAACAAACTGCAAGAAGAGATGAGGAAACTAGCCACGCAGAGGGTGAGAAAATCTTTATTTTAATGTAATTTTAATCCTAACAAGTGTTTAACATTTATCCTGTCTTCCACAACCCCCATCCCAACGTCATGTACCTGATGTGCAACTCGGTAGTTAGATTTTCATTCGTATTTTCTAACGTGAAGAAAAGTATAGTAATAAGCCAAATCACAGGTGATACCAATAACAATAAAGAGAGCTTTGTTTTATTAAAGTGTCCCAGTAAGCCACAACAGTGTGACAGTGAGCCAGTATGGCTGCAGTGATAAATGCCTACTGCATAAGCATTTATTGTCTTTCTGTACTGTAGGACTCCTCGGGAGAAGTGGCTTGTTTTGGGCTTTTGTTCATCCTTTCTTTCCTAGCCAACAACTTAAAAACTTTGTTGTAGAAGAACTTTTGTCACCAGAGAGCTCATTGAAGGAAAGATGAAGTGGTAGTTTTATCCAAGTAAAGCCCAGAATTTCATTTGGGCAAACAGGAAATCTGCAGGGTCTCAATTAGTTGGGCTGGGATGCTCTTCTCTATTGACGCTCAAGGCTTAGAAGACGGACATATTTTTACACACGTCTTGATTTAAAGTAGCTGTCAGTCTGTGGTGAACAAAATTACATGGCTTCTGCCAGGATTTGTATATTTTAGAATTGAGAGTAGATTTGGCGTTCTCATTTTTAACATCTTGTAGTATTTTCAGAATGTACTCCTCATATTATGGTTGCTTTTTATTGTATTTCTGTACCAGGAGGAAACTAGGAAGAAACCCAAGATGACCATAATGGAGTCTGCCCAGCCAGGGAGCGAACCCCTCTGCACTGTTGACGTTTAAGTCTCTGAATCACTGATGAACCACGGCACTGAAACCCAGTCACTGTCAGACATCACACACCACCCTCCTTCAACACCTTCCTCACTTAATTATGCATCACTGAGATCTAATGGCAATATAGTTACACATTGACCAGGCCGGTAGAACTGCTTGCTTCCTTCGCCCACGTTTTATTGGTTCAGCTGGTAGATGTAAGGGTAGGACTAAATGCACAACAGACAGTAGAGCAAATATCGTCTACCTCTCTAGATGCATCCTCGCTGTGGCACTAGAAAAAGAAAATTTACCGGGCTGCAGAGAAGTTAACATGACTTGATAACAGATGAACCACAACAAAATAAGGAATGCATGCTTCTGCACACCTTGGTTTTGTTTTTAAAGTGTCATTATAAAGAGTCGCAATCTTAGAGTAGCAGCACCTATTGGTTTTGTTTTTGCTTCAAGTATTTGAAAGGGACTACTAACACTTGTGTATTTATACCATTCATTTAATTGGGAAACAAAGTTACTTGTTTATTGGGTATTTTAATGGTTGGTGTAATGGATATTTTGGTAGACAAACACAAAATATGCCGTTTTGTTTTTCCTCAAAATGGACAGTTGCTGTCTTGGTTTGCACGATTTAAAAACATGCGTTGTGAAGTGATCACTATTCAGAACTATTGTTATGCACTCGTGTCCTGTCAGATATTTTTGTTGACTGATCATGCTGTTGGTACAGTAACCAACTGCTTTTGGGATATTTGGGATGACTTGTATTTGGAGGAACTTGTTGCCTTTTTTCCCTTCTTTTTCTCCTCTTTTTGCTTTGGCAATACAAGAAACTCCCCATGCTAACACTGCAGTAAACCCAAACACAGGGCCACACATTACTGTCGTGTTTAAGTTACAGGGTTGTTTCTTTTATGCTCTTCATTCTTGCTATCTTTTTATTAAAGTACTAATTCCATGCACACCAAACTAACCACTTGGTACATTTCAGTAGCTTTTCATTTTTGGTGCCCTTAAGAAATCATGTTGGCTACATGTTGCCTTAGTTAAATCATTTCATGAAGGGCTCAGAGTATATACAGTACATTGGACCTAAAACACCCTTCAGCAGGAAGTGGAAAGACCAAGCCCCCTTTACTTGATAAAGCATTTATTCTTTAGCAAGTTTAGTATTTTAATGAAGACAGCCTGTAAAACATCAGTTACTTTAGAGGAAAAAGCCTACAGCATGTGCAGATTTTTAAGACTCGTCTTAATGGATTGTGTATTTTGTGTACGTTTGCCATCATTGTGAAAGTTGATCATATTTTCTGATGACAAGTAAAATACATTTTTCAAAAGGCAGCCTTGCAAAATGTAGTTGGTACACTGACCTGAACAAAATACAATCAAGTCGTTTAGTCCAACACAAGCTGATGAAACTGTGTATACCAAAGCTTACATACAGTCTTATGCATTTTATAGAATAATGTTGCTGCAAACTGTACAGTAGAATCATCTAACACAGGAAAATACAGACTCATTACTTGCTGGAACAAAATAGAAACTGCTGTGCATTCTTCAAGTATTTGGCCTGTGGTTTTTCTACAAAATATCCAAGGACACAGTTTAAACACAAGGCTGTAGTGATAATGTAGATTGCTTCAAGAATGTGCTTTCCCCTCTGCGTTTGTTGTCTTGCCAAGTGTGTGTTGGTGTGAGAAGAGAAAAAAAATACTGCTTTTACATGTGTTGCTGTTGAGTTGTACCAATGAATTGTTTGAGATGTTGCTGCCTAGAAAATGAAGTACGTATTGCAACCTGAGCTCCATGACTTCAGTGATATTTGTTATGCAAAATAAAATGTCTTGACTAATGATGAGAAGGGCTTTGTTTTATTCAGTCGCAGAATGATCAAACAGAACAGAAACAAAAGGAAGTTCAATTAAGGTGACACTGTAATGGGAAAGGCTATCAACACACAGTACCCAATCTGAGCTGCATTATCCTTAAGAGTTGAACAAGGTATGTGAAAATTACAGTAAACCAAAAACATTTAGGGAGTCTAGGTAGCATTATGGCTTTTAAACATAGCCCATGATAAACTACGTCTTTTACAAAGGTTCTCAAACTAAAAAATGAAGAATAGGCAATGGGGCACTGCCCATAAAGCTCAGTTAAACAAATGCACTGCAATGAATACTGTATTAACATTTATTGAAGCACAAATTATTATTGCATTATGGGATAAGAGGACCAAACTGGATGAGACACTGGTAAGTTGTTATTTGGATTTAGTGACCCTTTAAAGTTAAGACTATAAGGCCGTGCAGTTACTTAGAGAAATAGAGGAAAGAAAGCTATTGTAATTATTCATTTTAACACTGAGGGTGTGCGTACATTTCTACTACAGAGAGCCCATGCTCTCTATCAAACTGTACAGGGTCTTTTTCTAAAGGCTAAGACCCTGTCTTTTCCTGAGTGCTGCTGGTCTGCTGCTGCTGGGAATTGTAGTCCACTCTCTCCAGCAACAGAAGCATCTCAACGTGCATGGTCTGAGGGAACAGATCCACGGCCATGGCTCGCACCGGACGGAAGGGGGCCCCGTGAACTCTGTTGGATGGCGCTCTGCACAGACTACAGACAAAAAATTCCAACCTCAGATCTACCACCTTTCAAAATTATACAGATGATACACTTCATGCAGGGTTTTGTTTTACTTTGACGTGTCAGATAATCGACTCACACCCACAAACAAACTGATTAATCCCAACTGCTGCTTTAAAACACAATGACTCACTCAATGAAGTTGTTCATGGCAGCCTTAGCATTGCATGCCACATAAACCAGCCTCTTCAGATGCTCTGCCCTCCTGATGGCAAGTATCACCTTGGAATCTGTGTTAAAGACAACAACTCTTATTATGGGACACCTTGAAGTTGAGTGAGATTCACTTCAATGTTCTTGGCTGTTCACTTACGTAGGCCTGCCCTCGGTGGATCCACGATGGCTGTGAGGTTGGGTGACACCAGAGCATTGAGAATGTTGGGGAACACATCTTCGGCTTTTCCACAGTGAAACTCGACATTACTGAGACCTTTAAATACAAACAAATGAATAACTGATGAAAAAGCCTGAACATACACACAGGACTGCACAGGACGTATGCTCTTTGCACACCGACAACATTGAGGGGGAAACACAAAATATTCCTGATTTCTACAATAAATTTCTGACACTTCTCAATACTCACCATCCTACATTTTAAATATTCACAATTCACACACAAATCACTGGCGGTAGTCTGACATTATCTGGTCTCTTACCATTGAGCTTTGCATTAACTTTGGCATCCTCGACTGCTTCCTGGCAGAGCTCGATCCCAATCACCTTCTTCACCCTCTAGAGGTCAACAAAAACGTCAAAACCTGCCAGAGCCTCCATTTTCCCCGTTTGCAACCTTTTCCAATACTTGTACCAACCCTGACACAGCTTTTTAAAATAGTGCAGAGGTCGCTGTTTGCAAGAGGACATTATCATTTCAATATAATGCAAGTGCGGTATTCTCGCAGCATTTCATACAGTAAGTAATCTTAGGGAAGTCTTAGTAATACCAAGGTATACATGAAAAGGTTGCCAGCAAGTTACGTTTCCTGCTACAGACAACTAATGTCACCTTAGCCAGAGAGATGCCGATGGTCCCTGTCCCACAGCACACATCCAGTACTGTGCTATCCTGATCCAGCTGGGCCCATTCCCCCACAGCAGAGTACAGCACCTCTGCAGCTCCTGTGTTCACCTGCCAGGCAACACAGACGCACTCAACACTGGCACAGTTTGTGCAAACAGGAAGTGACTGAAATAGCATGAATGAGCTGGAAAGGAGCACGTGGTTCTGGAAATCTTTGCAGCAAATCTTTCATACCTGGAAGAAAGAATGAGGAGATATCCTGAACTTTAGACCCAGGAGCTCCTCGTGAATGCAGCCCTCTCCAGCCACCAGCTCACAGGGCAAGTCCTCTATGTTAGGAGAAGTCCTTGGGAGCAGAAAACACAAGTTCAGTGCAGTATTCAGTGATTTATAGTTTGTCCTGCATTTTTTAAACTTGACTCATGAAGCATCATGATTTTATTTTCTTACCTCTGACCCTCTCTAACAAAGTAAAGAGAGGTTACTCCACTCTCTTTCCCCTCTCCTTCTGTGAAGTGCTTCCTCATGGAGCTCTTCAGTGCGCTGACTTCCTCCTCATCAAGTTTCTAGAGCGTCATTAAACAAGCAAGAGAGATCAAAAAGGAGAAATCTAACAATGTGTGATTCTATCTTCAGAAAACAGGCTCACACACCGAACAGTTCCTCACCTGTGGGTTGAAGAACACTACAGCCATGGCTTGTTTGGTCCTGGTAGTCCGTACAGTCAGCTGCTTCCAGTGTCCTTCATATGTTTCAGGACTGTACACGGAGTATGGAGTCGTCCTGTGTGCAAAGATAATGGCAAGGTTACGTACAAATTAAATACTGTGTGAGAGTTATTATTTCAGTATTCTGGGTTCAGACTAGGCTCTGACGCAGACACAATGACCCAGGACATCCAGACAAGCTAAATTAAATCCGAGGCTCTCACGGCCGCAAGCAAATGAAATCTAAAATGACGGCAGTTCTGTTCTCCATAAAACTTGGTGTGGACGATCATGTAATACCTGATGAACTTCTGAAACTCGCTGACCACTCTCTTGGCCTCGACCGAGACATGGCACGTCTCGGCTGGCCCGACCACAGCACAGGAGCCGCCTTTATATTTTCCCAGGCGGAAACCGATGGTCTTATCCTCGCCGTCTGCGCCCACCGAAATGAGGAACTCGCACTTGTTTCTGTACTCTGTCTGCCGAGATGCAAGTGGAGAAATATGAAAGGGATATTAGACACTACTGCATTCCAAGGTGTAAAACTACAGAGCACACTTTTGTTATAAGTTATGAGAACTAAAAGGGAACGTACCTGTGTAGGAGATGGCCGGATAGTTTCCAGAGGACAACACATTTTGTTATATTTCCCTTTCTGTGCAAACAGCCACGGCAACATGGCTTTGTTGGTGCTGCCAATCTCTCTGAAGAAGACACAGTGTAGTATATTGGTTTAATGTGATGTTCTAAATACTCTTTTTAAGTGTTTTCTGCTGATAAGAATTAAGGATGGTATTAAAAAAAAATTATTTGATGTGGACACAGAATACTGGGGCTGTCAGGAGCTTCCATAAAGAAGATACTGACCTCCATTAACATATATTTGGTCTGAAATATAGTGTTAATACTGCACAACTCCTGTTATGGACACACATGGTACCACTGGTATGCAGCAGACTCTACATTAATGACAGCACTCACCGGGCCAGCCTCTGCAGGACCCCCACCACCTCCTGCTCCTTCCTCCTCAGCTGCTCCTCATAAGGCACGTTCCACAGAGGAGTCACCACGTTGGCTATCTGGACGCTGAGCGGCTCCTCTTCCTCGTCTCCCTCTGTCCTCTTGGATGGCGGCTGCCCTCCCGCCGCACCCTCCCCTTCCTCCTGCCTCCTCTTCCTCTGGATGGGGTCTGCTTTGGGTTTGGCCAGCCTGACGCTCAGCACCTGGCCCTTCCACTGCATGCCATGAACCATCTTCATGGCCTTGTCGCGCTCTTCCTCGTTCTTGAAGGTGACGAAAGCAAACGTCTGCTTGCCAAACAACTTGATTTTGTGCGGGTTGAGGCTGTGTTTGGCCAGGAACTTCTTCAGGTCGTTAAAGCCGGTGAACTTGGGGAGATTCCTGATCTCCACTTTGTAGATCTCTGATGTGAAGAGGTCCTCTTTGATGTAGCGGTACATGCTGGGGTCAGAGGCTGCCTCCGTCTCGCCCTCAGCTTTGACATCCTCAGCATCCTTGTGGGAGTCCTGGGGGAGGTCCTCAGACTCCTCCTCCTTTGAGGGTGGAGGATCAGCCACCGGGCTGCCACTAACATCTGCCATCACTGTGTTGGGTGGTAGAATTAACAATCCAATGAGCAGACTGATACAGATTCACTTTTTAAAAGGACAACATGTTAGTTCTGAGACACTCGTTTAATTTGTTAAGTGTCAAGTTTGGTTTAGGAGAAGTTGTAGCTTTTTAATAATCGGTACAATAACTTTAAAAATCCAAATGTAACGGTGAAAGTAAAAGAAAAACGTTTAAAAACTGTAGTATAGCTCTATGAAGAATCCTTTATTTCATTTAAGGACTAGTTTTAGCGCTGTGTAAAGACATTCCCATCACTTGTTGTGCACACAGAGCTGTGTAACGTTAACACAGGCTGAGGTGGCAGCTGACACTCTGCAGCTGCGCTCTTTCTTTACAAACAAACAGTTGGTCGCTATCTCAGTAATATGTGACAGTGTGTCGCTTGCTGTCGTGCTAAGTATCAGAAATGGCCACATCCACTGGCAGTCCAGATAACGGTGTTACGTGCCTTACCTTCTTACTTTTACTCTCAAATCCACTTCTTACTCAAACGTTCAGGGCGCAGCCATGTTGATTGAACCACGTGCAGCGGTGAACTCTGAACTTTGTTAAAGTGTCGTCATTTCGGGGCTCGCGCGTCACGTCCACATTGTTTCATTTGAAATGATTTGAACATTGACGGTAAATACTTTATTATATAATACTTGGGACTTGTATTGTTTTTAATGCGTTGAAAGGACTTCAGTTTCCCATTCAATAATAATTGTTTCAACTTCTTTTAACGGTTTTTATTTCCCCTCACCAACGAGAACTAACTTATGTGCACTCATAATCCCGTAACTGCCCCGGGGGGTATCAGACCCCCTGACTCCACTTTCACCATACGGCAATTTGTTTGTGTTTATTGATTTTTAATATACTATATGCACCCCTACATCACATTATAAACCGTTATAAACGAGTTATACCTGCATCATGTTGAGGCCCTAAGTTAAATGTAGTTGAAGGTCTTTATCACTTCAGTTTATACTCAGCTCAAATGTTACATTCTATATAATCAACGTGTGCTTTATCAAGTTAGGACCAAGTGATACATACATACATGACGCATAGAGTGGAACAAGGGGCCTATATAGGGGTCGTAGCTCATTTTAATATAAAAAATCATAACACACACACATATATTTATTTGGCAGCATAACGGTTTACTAAATGTCCTTATACTGAGCCAGTTTGAGGTATTGCTTTCTCTTTATTGACACAAGTGTTCACACACATATTAAAGCATATATATATGTATAATACAAGCGGGCACATCATTAGTTTGCATTAGTAATGGGCAGTCAGAGGATGTGGGGCTGAGCAGCACTTTTTTGTGTGACTCAGGCCGAGAGAGGCGGTGCGCGCGCTGTCATACGTAGGAAATTCGGCGCGCGAAAGCTGCAGCAGGAAGTGAGAGTCGCTGAAGGGAAACGGCGGCCAGTCTGGGGTTTGAATCTGTGCAACTACTTCCATAATCTACAAACATCTACATTAATATGGCAGACCCGAAGGTAAGCTCGCTCATTTTAGGTCATCGAATGCATTATGTTTGCTTTGAAACCGGAATTTAGTGGCACACATGGTATTTTATGTGTCGTAATTCGTCAAAGTTCGTAAAAGAAGCTGCGAGCCAGAAATGCCGACAATGATGTTGTCTTTCGTGATGCCAGAACAGCTAATTGGTATCATTTCAAGGCTATAGGGTGTAATGAAAGCTTGTGAAAGCGTCCTGGCAGAAAGCTGGAAGTGTGTGGCGCTTCCATTGAAGGTTTTAAACTCTGCAGCATTTCTCCAGAGTTAACGTTGACGAGCTCAGAAGTACTCTGAAGTGTGCAGCCAGGCAGCATGTTAACATTAGCCTCATACTGGGCTCATTAGCTGAGGAAGGCAATGGGCACACCAATCCTAACGAGTGAACTAAACTCTGGCAGTCATTTGAACAGGCTGTTTCACAAACTGCGTGTAACCTGCTGGCCAAAGACAACGAGGTTAGCGGTCTTCCTTGCCTTTGTCTGGCAAGCACAACAGTTGCTAACATAAGTTGGCTAATGTTAGCTCAACAGCAGGGCGCTGGAGCCAGTGACTGCGTATTACCGGACAGTTCACTGTAACACGGCTACAATGAGTGGGGTGCCAGTTAGCCCACAAATCATATCCTATAAATTATAGTCCAATTAAGTATGTTATTAGTCAGGGACACACACCGCGGTGCAAAAAGCCGAACGATTAGCTCGGGACTAGCCCGCTTGTATGAGGCCTCATCACCTAGCTAGGCAACTTCACAATGAGTTGTCTTAGAAAAACAAAGTTGAACAACTATTTGTTAACGTTAATGAAGAACAGTGTAACTGCGACAAAAAAAAAGCAACGTTTCAAAAAAAAATTCCACCTATTCATCCAAGCTAGTGGCCTTAATTAACTGTACGTTATTGCGTGTGGCATCTTTAACGTCAGTAGCAGTTGTAGCTTCCCTCTTTTAGCTCAGGCACAAAGATTTCATCGTTACATTGAGATGCAGCTAACATGCTGTGTCGCTAACTGGTAGCTTAATAGTCTAGAAGTGTGTTTGCCACTGAGGAAATCTCCCGCGTATGCTCAGTTTCGAAGTCGAAATGATACTGCACATGAGCTATTCATTTAGGGCTCTTTTCACAATCGTGAACTTGCACATTTTTTTGTGTGTTTAGCCGCCTTTGTCCTCAGTCATTTTCTGTGTGAAGGTGATGTACGCTCTGGCAATATTAATAATGTACATTTAATCGTGCACCGATCAACGTGAGAACATTCAACCCCAAATAGAATTAAAGATGCTTGGCTCAGCAACAACGCTTTACTAAAGGCTTTGCCAGTTCCCCCTACAAAAGCTATACTTAACCAATGAGCCCTTAAATCCCTCCATTGAAGCATCCATGGCCTGTTGGTGAGTTGTCAGAAGTCACTTTGTTCCAGTGAGTTTCAGAGAATCACACTGAAAGATACCACATGCCTAATGACTTTAACTCACTCTGACAGATAACTACACAATGTTTTTCTTTTTGAGGTATCTCATTCTCTTGCTTTTTCTTTTAGGAACCGGAAGACCACGAAACCACTACAGAGGACTCTAATCATGATCCCCACTTTGAGCCCATCGTGTCCCTTCCTGAGCAGGATGTGAAAACATTAGAAGAGGATGAGGAGGAGCTCTTCAAAATGTAACTTGCTTTAATAATCTTTTTTTGTTCACTCAAGTGTTATTTGTCACACAATTGTTGTGATCTAATATACATTTTGCTGGCCAGGCAGCTGGGACAGTTTGTTAGGCCAGTATATATGGCATCCTGTTAATGAAGTATACCACTGTTTTCCCAGGCGGGCTAAACTATATCGTTTTGCCTCTGAGAACGACCCACCAGAGTGGAAGGAGAGAGGAACCGGCGACGTCAAGCTGCTGAAACACAAAGAGAAGGGCACAATCCGCCTCCTGATGAGGAGAGACCGAACCCTGAAGATTTGTGCCAATCATCACAGTGAGTCAAGTTGACAACAAAGGAACTCTTGCTATCACGCTGCAGTGTGCAGGTTATTTGTGCGGCTTTGCAAACTGGTATTCACCATCTTTGTGTTCTCACCAATCCAGAAGTTATCTTTGACATCCCAAACTATCATGGTTATGTTCACTGGCTAGTTTAGGATGCATTGCATTTTACATCCACATCTTCCGATTCTACAATTAGCCATCAGTATAAGCAGTCCAGCTAACAATGGTGCAACCACTACATGTGAGACAAGGTATGTGCTTTTAATTTTGCCTGTTTGTCAACCTTGTTCCCCTCTTGTGAACTACAGTTACAACTGCAATGGAGCTGAAGCCCAACGCAGGCAGCGACAGGGCATGGGTGTGGAACACACTAGCAGATTATGCTGACGAATGCCCCAAACCTGAACTCTTGGCAATACGCTTTTTAAACGCAGAAAGTAAGTATACATCTAATCCAATATTACACTTGAAAGATACTCAAACTAGTATTTAATTTGCATTATTTAACGATCACACTAAAGTGACAAGCCATTCTCCATCGAACGTTTGGGCAACACGACACAGAAGCCATTTGTTGATTAATCAGCCTCATTATATTGTCATAATGAGGATGTATGCTAATTTTCTGTTGTGTTTACAGATGCTCAGAAGTTCAAGGGGAAGTTTGATGAGTGCAAGGAGGAGGTCAGAAAAACTCTAGGTATGTGGAACTTTTTACATTTTTGCTAATGTAATGTGTAAAGTTGATGACATACAGGTGAGATGAGATGTTTCTTGACGGTGTTTTTTCATGAATTACTTACTTAAAATGTGAACTACTTTAGCAAAGAGTGCATTGGCTTACTAGAAGCTGTAATCCATTTGACATGATAATGCCCCAATACACTGTTGTACTCAGGTTTGAGTAATGTGTACTGAGACCTGTTTTAAATTGAACTCAAACTAGGGCTAACATGCAGACTCACTCTGTTCTTTGCTGCTCACTCCAGCCTCGAACTTTTTCTGTCTGCTACATGAACATGCAGAATGTAACACTTTACTGGCTTTCTAAAAGGCCGGTGTCACTATGTTCTGCTACATTACAATTGAGATTTTCTCACAGGACCACAATAGCAAAAGGTCACTTGGTCCACCTTAAATCATAAATGAAATACAGTGGCTGTGTGAAGAGGTGGGCACCTTTTTTAAACAGTGAGTTGAGATGCAAAGTAAAAATAACAGGAATGTTGTTTAACCTTTTTATAGCTTTTTAGTTGACGGCACATTTCACTGTTTTGTCACAGGCAACACTGATAGTGCAAACAAAGTGGCAGAAAAGCTGGAGGAACTCTCTGTAAAAGACAAGGCTTCAGAAGGAAAGAAGGAAGAGGACAAAAATGAGACTGAGAAGAAAGAAGATGAGAAAAAGGAGGTGAAGGCCGAAGAGAAGAATTGAGAACCAAGAACTTGCTTTGCTGATCTTCAATTTATCAGTTTTTCCTCTTTTTCTACAATAGACTCTAAATGAACTGAATTTGGACACTTGCATATTATTAGTTTTTTTATTATCTGTTTTGCCTCAAGATCACAAGTCCTTGATGCCACTGGGGGGGAAAAAATAAACAAAGATAGTGAATTTATGAAAAAAAAGAAGCCCCTTCCCTCCCACCCCTTTCCCTCTGCACCATGGAATGCCACGCTTTCCTTCCTCGTCATCTACAGTTCAATGTTACATTTGACAAACTGTGAAAAGAGGCTTGTGATAGTGATAATTCCCACATTGGGGTATTTTCTTTTGTTTTTGTTATTCTGAAGCAGAGTTTGTTTGTAGAGGGGATAATGTAGCCTGCTTGTTAGCAGCACAGGGTCAGGGACCAGGCATTATGTAGGTGCATTGTAAATGTAAAATCTCATGATGCATCTCAGTGGGCCTTCTTACCCTGTCCACTGTCCATGCTTCCACGGTTAGACACAGCAAGTAAGGTCAAGACTTCTCAGTGGATGCCTTGTAGAAATAGTTGTTGCTTTCTTCTTTGATCAGTTCTGTTGGGAACTGACGAGAAGAGGAATCCACTCCAGACAGTTGAGGGGCATCAGATGGGTGCGGCAGATGGCAGTGTCCACTGATAGCTGACTGATAGGAGATCAGATGCACTTAGCTAAGCATTCATTATTTTTCCTTTTTCCTTTTTTTTTTTTTTTTGTTTTAAATATCTGAACACCATAAAGTCCAAAGTCAACGGTTCATCAGAGTTAGGTGCAGCTACGCTTGACTTAAGTTTCTCACCAGGAAATCAAGTTTGTATTCTTTAGATCATAACATTCCCAGACTTGAAGCATGTAGAGTATATGTAACAGAGTGTGCCCTATCTGATCTGTGTGCTCACCACCCTCTCCTTTTCTTTCCACTAATTGAGTTCTTAACCTTGCCTCTAAAGCGCATCTAAGTGCCAGTGCATCTGTAAATACATGTATATGGATGAAATATTGCTTTTCATTTGCACTCAAATGATTCGAAATGTTTCCTCCACCTTCGAATAAAAGTTGTCAAAGACCACATGTTTGCGTTCACATAAAAATTGCTTGTATTTGAACAATTGTGTTGTAGGAGTTGAAACAAGATCTTGTGACTGGTCATATGCAAACTACTTGCATATGTGTGGATTACATTTTAACATAAAATGTTGACTCACTGGTTATGCAGCAGTGGTGGCCTGAGGAAAGAATTAATGATATATTAATGTGCAGGTGGCCCACACTGTACCTTCTTATCAACAAGAATCAATCCCATTCATTCAAAGAGTTGGAAACTTTATTTACTCTGCTCAGGTCATTGGGAAATCTTTCCTCTTCACAAAAATAGGAACGCATGTACATTTATAGTATATTTTATATTTTAATACATATTGAATTTTCTATTTGAGTTTCAGAAAACAAAATCAGCTTGTGGCTGATGGAACAGATTCATTGCTGACTGTCAGGAATGGTCCCTGACCTGCAGTGATGTCCATTCCAAAAAACAACTTTGGACTTATGGCAGTCATCTTAAAGAGGAATGACATCGATAGGGTTTTGATATGTGGTCAAACGGGGCTCTGAGAGTCATGATAGACTGGGGTATTTTCAGGCAACTCAGCAGCTATTAATCTGTTCAGGTATTTCAAAATGTCCCAGTTAGCTGTTCCACTGACACTCACCCATCAGATTTGCAAATAAGTAGCCCTGTATACCGCAGCCTTACAACAGAGACACTGTTAAACGATTTAGAAATACGTGACTTAAATAGAGTATCCAGGCTCACATTACTGTGTTCATGCTAAGGCAGCTGGGTGAGACCTTAAAAGGAAGACCATACTGGCCAGAAGGTTGCAACTACAGCGAGTTTTGATAACATCCAACCATGTCAGAAAGCAACTCTACCACAGCTACAGGCCTTTACACTCTGATCTCTGCAGAAAGGAATCTATGGAGGAATCAAATGGGAAGAAAGGAAAATCCTGTCAAATTTAATTCCACAATCAAGCAAAACGATTCATTACCTTAAACATTGGCCTTTCTTCCAGAACTTCTGTTGATAAAAAGTTTGAAATTTCCCCAGTCTTAAGTGTCACTTCTGCCCAGCTCAATACAAAAACACTAATGTTATTTCACTGTCCCTTAGTGTACAATAATTATAGTAGCCACATTTCATTGAGTATGAAACATAACTTTTCCTCTTGAAAGGCAACAATGGTTTATTCTTAATGTGAATGTAGCTGGACCAAGTCCACCACTTTATATCCATGTTTTTCATATTCAGTTGGTGCTGAATATAAATGAAAACCTTCCACCTAGATATTTTCAGTTCATTTTATGATCAAAAGTAATAAATGTTATGAGACTCTCTTCAATTAACAGCAAAAAAAAAATAAAGTTGAGTTTGAACTCTGAGTAGCAGGTAATACTGGAGCTGTACCAGACAGCTGCTGCAAATCGATGTGACATTTTCAGTGTGCGTGATATCGCTGTGACACTCACCCGTTTACGCTCTTTGAGAAATTAAGGGGTGTCAACTTTTGGCACTAATCTCAAGGCAGCTTCTATTGAGAGCCCAACCGTTGACCTGTGTACAGCACATGTGGATCATGTGACTGTTCACTAGTCAAAGACTGTGACTTTAATATTTCACTTCCTCAGATCACACATCTTGTAGTTACATTTCATCATCTTTTTTTTTTTACACTGCAAAGGTAGAATAAGATATATTTACTTTATGGATTTTACCCATTATCACAATCTCATTTATTTACTGAATTTATAATTTATCAACAAAAACCACTCAAAATAAAACATCCATTCCAGGCTTAATTATCTGTATAAAAAAGATGTATCAAACATAGTTTTTGAAAGGTTGGGTATATAAAAAGGAAACAAACCGATTAAAAAACTACAAAATAATGAATGGGTGACCAGTTATCTTGATTTTACTACATGGGACAATGGCTTGTTTCACTTCACAATTCCATTCCTATGGTTATAACACAAACCTACCTTACGTACTAAACAAATGTTTTTTCTTAGTTTTTTTTTTTTTAGACAAAACATAAACAGAAAAGTTGTTTTGGTTGTGCAAGGCTGGACTCGTTCTGAACTCGGTGAGAACCGTCAGGATGAGGTATTCTTACTTTCAGAACGCTGATGTATCTGCCCAGCGCTTGTGTCATGGGTAATGTTGAAATCACCAAACTGAACTTCACGAGAACAAACAGACGCCTGTGATGATGTACTGCACCCTTGCGAACGGAATAAAGCAGGCTAAGCTACACCCAAGCCCTAAAAGTCTGCACTCAACTGAGACAAAGAAGGAGACATTCATAATGTATGAATTAACATCAAATAGCATCTCTGCTGGTTGCATTCATTCCTGAGAAATGTCTTTTTGACAAAGAATGAACTTAATTTTACTTAGCTTAGTTTATTTGACTTTTAATTAAAAGCAAGCCTTTCTCAATGAATTTGGAATGCAACCACCAGATATGATACGATGGCTTTCCCCTCTCCTTTCCCACCAGTTGCAGTGGTTGCTGATCTAACTGATCTGCACTCCATCACCTCTCAACTCCAAACACTAAATATGTTGAGCACGAACAGTACAAGTTAATGTGAAGCACCTTGACTTCTTGAGGTCAACTGAGTCGGAAAGGACGCTAGTCTTCTCTCAGAGGTCCACGGTGAGGATGTCGGCGTAGGATTCATCTGTAGGGTTTTTGTTCAGCCTTCAGAGCAAAGTTTGTGTGTGACATTTGGAACACCGTACACTTAATGACCACGGCTGAGAGACAACAGTAATAACACTGACGGTCTGTTCGGACCGTCCACTTTTACGACCAAGATGATGAGCCACAAAATGTTAATGACAAGACACTCCTCACACATAAAGCCTGCAGTGGTCTCAACTGACAACCAACCCCTGCCGTACAAACATACACGGGCATTTGGCTAGACAGACCCACAAAGGAGCAGACAGATCCTCTGATTGGATAATAACTCCAAAACAGGGAGTGCTATGTGCCCCTGACTGGCCACTATCTAGACTTCACAAAAATAACAAAGAGGAGAGAATCTCTTTGTAGCTGGGTGGCCGTCGCTGTTGGTGGATGCGGTGTCCCTGCTCACACTGATATCTCATACGTGGTGCCTCCGACGCCTGTCACCTTTTTGACATTACTGTGGCGACTGGGGCTGTGGGTGGCACCCTGGGCACTGGGGTGGCAGTCCATCTGCCCATTAACTTTCATGGCCTCTCTGAGTGGAAAGAGAAGAACAGAGAAGGTGATTCAACACAAAGAGCCAAATACAAAGCAAACAATTAGAGGTTGTGGCAGCATGCAGATTAGTTTTATGGAGCATGACAGTTTTAAATGGCAAAAACATAACAGTATGGGTGATAACTTGAAAGCGTACTTGTTAGTGAAGCAAAAGGCTTGGAAATGTTAGACGAGTAGATGAAAAGCATGCAAAAGAAAAAGAAATGAGGAGTCACACAACTTTATTTATCTGACATTCCTGAAATGATACAAAAAAGTATATTTTACTAGAAAGGCAAACATATAAATCAGAACAGAACATGTAAGAATCCACACCAGACAGCACTTAATATGAATAAACTGACATAACTGCTGGACAAATACCATAGACCATACACAAATGCTACACATTGCCACATTAAGGACTAGTACACTAGTGCTCATAATTTGCTGTTTGTGTCCAGCAGAAGGAGCCCACCAGTCCCCACTGGCTCAGTACAATGCATGCAGTCCCACAGGGGCAACGTCAGGTTTCATACCTTGGACCCCCCAGACGAGGTGAGTCTGTCCTCTCATGGGCACTGATGTAGGAGAGTTTCTGGTGGGAGTAGGAGGGGGATCGGGGCATAGCAGGGGAGTGTGGCTGGTGGGCCGGGGAGCGATAGAGGCCCTCTGGGGCAGTGGCCCTGCTGTGGCTGCTGTTGGTACTACTGTGGTCTGTGTGCAGGGAGGTGGATGAAGTCCTAGGGGCGCGGCCCAGCGTTGAGCCGGCATGACGTAACACAGGGGTTCGTTGCCCATAGCTCACTAGCCCGACCCCCATCAGGTTGTCCCTGGAGCCTCCGTAGGCCGGGGGTGTTGGGCCTCTGGAACCAGGGCCACGTGGCCCATCTGGGTAGCAAGCATTGGGGGGTAGGCCATAGCCCCCATCAAACACGCCAGAGTCCTGGGCATAAATATGGGTCTGGGAGCGCCCATGCAGCATCTGCCGCTTCTCCCTCTCCTCCATTTCCTTTCGCTCCTGGATGGAGGCCATGATGGTCTGGGAGAGGTTGTCGTAGCGCACCGGGGATGGGTCCCTGTCCCTTAAGTGAGGGGACTGCCTTCCCACCCCCCTTGGTGGCATCACTGGACTGTAGGTGGGAGCAACCTGGTGCCTTTGCATTTCAGGTTCCCGGATGTGGCACATTTTGGTGGGCAGGTAGGGCGAGTGGAACCCCATGGAGGGCATACCGCGATGGGCCGCGCACTCACTGGCAGTGGCTGGAGAGATGCTAGGGTTGAGCAGGCTGTCATAAGACAGGCTGCCATTACGGTTGGAGAGCGTGTTAGGCGAGAAGACACTCTTGTACGGGGTGGAAGTGACTGTCTGCGGCTGCAGGGCTGGGAGCTGGCCCTTCTCCGGCCGGCGGTGACCCTGCTTCAGGCTGAGAGAGCGGGAGTTGATGGGGTCAGAGTCCAGCTGAAGGGGGGAGGACTGGAAGGTGCGGTGGAGGGGAGCATTGGTGTACTCCGGCAGGTCCAGGTTTGGCTCAGATCGGTAATCATGACCACGGACACCCTCTTCCAAGATGGCCGAGGTCTTCCGTTCATCTGGCATGATAATCTGAGGAGTAAAAGGTAGAGTAACACATCAAATCTAAGTGGAAATGTGAATGAAGTCCTTAACAACTGCTACTGAAGCTGTTGCCCCAGACAGTGAACCCTCGGGATATTACTAATCATACATAATAATAATGATAGTATATTAAAGATCTACCATATACATAAGTATTAAACAAATCATATCTTACCTTCTCTCCAGCAGTGTGGTAATGGACTTTAGGCATGGTGCCAAAGGACGGCCTGAATTTGTACATGGCTGGAGTGGAAGGGTGGGTCTTACCAGAAAGAGAACTCTCTACAACAAACAATGAAAGAAGACCAGAGTTAACAATGTAGAGATATAGAAATACACTATCATACCAGCTCTGATTGAAAGTCATTTCTGGGAGAAAGGACAAGACCTCAGAGCTGAATTCTATTATCAGAGTAATAAATGGGCTGTAGGGATTGAGTTCTTGAAACCCACACCATCACCATTGCTACAGAATGAAAATGAATTGGAGTGGGTGGGTGGTCACGTGGTCTTTTCTGTAACTGATATGAAACACATTCAAGTCCTGCAGCAGCCAGCTGTCCATCCCTGACAAACTACCTTGTCCTTAAGCAGAGCCTGAAATCCCAAGGCACTTCTTAGCAAGTAGCTGCTCCTGTGCACTGGTGCATGAGTGTCTCTGAAGAATATGCAAAGAACACTTATTTCCACAAATTATGAGTCCCCTAAATTGCTTTAATGGAGGCAATCTATTTAGACCAACTGCAGTACTCTGGAGTACCACCAGGCAGCAATAGTGTTCCATGGAAGAGTAGAAAATGTTCACTCCCTGACATAATGCACCATGACACTGGAGATCCTCTGGAGGGAACCTGCTGTTGTAGGTTCTAAACTATATATTATTGACACTACATACTGTTGAATGCAGCAGTAGAAAGAACAAACTACCACTGGCCAACACCGTGTAAAACTGTAAAACCCCCAGAAAAATAGGATCTGTCACAGATCCTATTTTATGCAGAACAAATTGACTGACTTTCCAAAGGCAGTCAGGCATTTTTATTTAGTTAGAGTCCTGATTCTAGACCATAGTCCTCTCCCATCCCTCCATTTGAAAGAGCTCCTATTGTTACACACCACGGACAAAAAGGTGGTGATTCATGTTGCAATCACTCTGAAATCTCGCCACTGTGCCACAAATCTGGTACTGATTCAGTGAACAGGGCACGCCTCCTCACTACAAATCATGGTTATTCTCAGACCCAGCATAAATAAGGCCATTGACCTTCCACTGGGACAGACATTTATCACGCTAAACTAGCACCATGTCACACACTGGGACACTGGTGATGTACAGAGGGAGTTTGGGGAATTGCTGTTGGGTGCACCCTGACAGGAAAGAGAAATGGGATAGATGATGACTGACAGGAGAGTTGCTGGTAAACACAGGGAGGCTGTGCTGTTGTGTTTCTTACCTTCGCTGGAGGTCAGCTGGCTTTTCAGCTGGTTGTACCTGTCAGCTTTGGGCGGCAGCGGTGGTTGGGTTTCTTTGTCGTCCAGGCCGTCCAGGCTGCTTTTGGACTGCAGAGAGGAGAGCAGGGTGTTAGCATCCAGAACAGGTGGGGGGACAGCAGATGAAATAGAGAAGAGCATGTGTTAGTATTGGGGATGCACCAATACAACTCTCACAGATGGCTGTAGGGTAGCAAAGCTGCACTAGGCAGCTGCTCTACTTGAGCTTACATTTATTCTAGTAAATGGTGTGGAAATGATGAAAGGAAATGATTTCAGAGTTGGATGAGTATTTTGTTCCCTCTTTTCTCATCTTAAAAGAGTACTCAACTCATTTAGCATTGCGCTTTTGTAATGCTCGGACTCAGGAGGAAGAAATCAAGCACCAGAGATATCATCTTTTTTATTCCACAAATTCTTCTTACTATATGGTGACTACATTACCCACAACGCTAAACTAAAACATAAAAATCAATGTAAAACATCAAGCACACTGAGCACACAATCACACACACATTAATTTGCCACTAAGTTTGAAGTTTGTAAAAATATAAAACTACTACTGTCACCACTATGTCATGTACATTTTTTAATTTATTTTTGGATGTTTGCCATTAAAACTACCCTTATAGAGATAGTATATCCCTTAGGGTAAAAAATTGTCAAATTAATTTTTAATTTATTAGTGTCTAATAATGTTATTTTTAGCAAGAGAACATTCTCTAACACATCTAGCTTTAATGAGCTATTGTATCCTTTTATATGTTATCTTTGAGTATGAGCCTGTATTAAAATAGGAAAGTAGGAACACAATTGGGGATACACCATGTTACACATTTGTGACATGACACTATGGGAATAAGACAAGAGGAAATGCTTACACCGCCGCAGAAGAGAGACTAAATGTAGGTCGGTTGGATGATGGAGTAACAGGGAAACAACAGTGCAAAGCTCTGTAGTAATTGTGAACAGCTCACCTTGGAGCTGATGATGGTGGTGTGGATGCCGTTGTCGCTGACCTTGATGGTGATCTGCCTTTCTGACAGGTCAGGTCTGATGAATGGGGGCTGAATTTTCACATGGGGCTTTTTCCTGGGGTCCAACATGTACCTGCACAAATATGGGCAACCGGCATAAACAAACATTCTACAATTTTTTTGAATAGTCCAGCGCTCAACAATGCCATTGCATTAGGAATGTTTAGTGATACAGTGTCTGCCCCACTGGAAGCAACTGGATTGCAACTTAGTAACAGAGCCACACAGCGCAAACTGTACTATTATAGTACTTACATCAAAGTATACACAGCTCAGCACAGCTGCAAAGGTGCGGCAAACCGAATTCAATTCCTGTCAGAAAGCCCTACATATTCTCTTTACGACTAAGTCTTTAAATGTATTTATTTCTTTTTACACAAACTAACTAAGTTGTACCAGAGTGAATAAAGTCTTTTTGAATCAATGAAAAAAACAGAAACCCAGCCATCATTCCTAATGCGGAGTACAATGATGAAGTAAGTTAATCACTTTGCATAATTCCATTTGGCTAGTCACACAGTTTAAAACAGACATTTCAAACACAACTTCCTGACAGAAAAACCCCTTTTAAATTAGTGTTAAAGTTTTTTTCATAATTAAAAAGGCTGTCACTGTGATCTCTTTTAACATTTAATGGTTAGTGTGGAAATTTAAAGATATTTCTCTAACAGTTCATTCAGTAGCAGTCAGGTCCAACATGCTTTGAGTCAGTGGTGCGGTAAATCAAAAACCCTCCACCAGGGATTATGCAACAACTTAACAGCAGATGCTTGTAACACAGCATTTCACCCCCACCTGCTGTTGTCTCTCTGCAGTCGCACTGTTGATTTTTATGGAATTGGACTCATCCCTATAGGTTGTAAAACTGGTGTTCATGGGTTTTCAGCAATGCTGTTTGTGTGTGCGTGTTAGTGCTTGTGTGTGTGTGTGTGTGTGTGTGTGTAATAAGCACATTGACTACCTCTGTGCTCCGTTTCCCATTAACTGTTGTTCTACATAGTGATTCAATTCTCTCAGCCATCTGCCTTCCCCCAGGGTTGCTGGCTGCTTTCAGGCAGAACTGGATACGCACCTCCACAACCACCAAGAACACGTGCATACACTCGTACGCACACCCACATACATTGCTGCAGTCTGTGTTATTGTTGCAGTTACATGGTGCTGCACTGGTGCTATGGCATTGATGTCATGGGCTATGATGGACACACGGACACACGCACACATCTGCATTTAAACGTATTCTCTCAAAAGCAGGAATACAACACTACTGAATAAAAATCCCTAAGAGTTAAATGTGTACTGAGAAAAAAAACAACCTGAAAAGCATCCACCCATACACCCCACCTTCATACACACACAAGCAGCATTGTAAAGCATCTTACCTAGGTGCCAGGGGACTACATAAGACATACTCCACGTTGCCACAGCAACCCTTAGTGAAGGGATTTACTCCTCCACGAAACTTGCCCGTCACCTGAGGAACACAACACCTTGTTTAGAGTCGGCAGCAAAGGAAGCACAAGGCCACAGTGCACACACACATGAACATACACACAGTCATATATACACAGAGGTCCAGTGCTTGAACACAAAGAGGGTGATTCATGTTGCTGAAGCATATTCCTTTTACTGCGTGGGTGCTTATCTTTATTAAACGTATTTCTGCTAACTAATTGGACTAATTGGAGTGTATTATTCTACTGTGTGTGCAGCCCAGGTGCCAACAGTCAGGCAGGTCTGGGTGGGAATGTTTGGATCTGTGTGAGTGTGAAGTAGGGCTGGACAGCTCTGTTGACTTTGACTGGATAAATAACGGGCAAATGATTGTTTGTGTGTGTATATTCAGAACAGGCAAGTCAGCAGCTCCTCACCTGTTCGTTGGTGGTTCGACCTCGAGCTACAAGCACCATATGGAAACCTGTGAGTCCCATGACTGGGATAAAGAAAAGCCCTGCTATACACATCACCACCAGACTGGACACAAAGGTTAAGCTCAACAACATATAAGAATACCAAATGCACTGTAAGAATAACTCCATTGACAGCCCAGGAAACATTATTCTGAAAAATTAAATAGACAACCAACAAAATTGGCCACTGAAGAAAAGAACTTGACTTTGCAAGGGAAGGATACGTGACAGTGGTGTGCAGTGCTCCCAGTCTCTCTCGGTGGTGAAGGACAAAGATGAGGCCAAAGGAGAAAACTCCCACCATGTGGATGCTCAGTGACAGCAGGAAAAGGAAGAAGTAGCGATAGTTCCTCCGCCCAATGCAGTTGTTTACCCAGGGACAGTGGTGGTCGAAGTCCTGAGGAGGGAGGGAGGGAGGGAGGGAGATTAAATTAAATGATGTGACCTAAAACAGGCCCGGCCTTTACATTTTCATACATTTGTCCCATGTATCGTCTCTTATCACTGGCACTAATTTAAATCTCCACTAATAAGGCAAGCCAAATTAAGGGACACAATGTTCTTGGTTGTACAACAAGGTTGCAAGGGGTCCTAATGAAATTCTTAACTAGGCTTTTACAGTTGCTATTTTTATCGTTTGTTTTGACAGTCAAACATTCAGCCTTTTTTAAATTAAAATGTAGAAGTAAACAGGATGCAGGAATACAACCTGTGTAATTCTGCACCCTGTGTGTGGGTGTGTATTAATGTCCTTATGTGTGTGTACATTTGTAAGACCAACATGAGAATGTTATTGCTGCTGTAAAGCTATTACTGATAATAATACTGATATTATGGTTGAAGCTGCCAATTTTTAGATTTATGCCAGTAATTATGGTCTGTAATGATAAATATTTATTTTGCAAAAAAAAACACAGATATTAAGAAATTATTTATATATATTCAGTGTTTTTTTATTCTTTAAAGAACAGAAAATACAAACTATGTACAAACAAACTGCATCATATATCAGATCAGACATGCCCAGTGCTAACAGAACACCATCAGATTGTTGATCAAAAGCTAATATTGACCCGATAAATCAGTCTAACCTTGATGCATGATTAGATTTCAGTGTATGAATGTATACTGAACATAAAACAGTCTCTCTTTTTGCACATTTGTATTCACACACACACACCCACACACACACACACCCACACACACACCTCCACACAGTTGTCACAGACACTGCAGTGCGAGCAGCGAGGCGGCCTGTAGAAGTGACAGGTGGCACACCACTTCATCCGGACTTGAATGCCCTTGATCTCCACGTTCTTGTAGAGCGGCGCTCGGAAATCATCGTCCTTGTCCTCGTCCTCGTCCGCTGCGGGGAAACACACAGATACACACACACAGAAGCACATTAGCAGGGCACAGATGCATATGGTAGAGTGAGAAAAACAAACACAAACACAGAAAAAAAGGCATGGTTTTGATTGATGATTCCATTTGACAGGGACAACAGCAGAGCAGAGACAACAGCATTTTTATAGACGTGACCTGATTGTTCTGCTTTCAACATTAAGGCTGATTCGTGTATAGCAGATGCAGTTTCATTTCATACATTATCAGAATGGACGAGGTTTTTTAAATTAAACCTCTAGAAAGGCAGAATTGGTGCCTTCTGTTTTTTGGACCTGAACATAAACCCATAACCTCTAAACTACAGTATGAGAGAACAAGTGGCATTTCCATTGTCCTTGGTGCGACTCTGCTTTTTCCATGGGAGCTGCAGAGCAAAATAAAATGTCTTTCAGCTGATCAAAGGGCACATTCACGCAATCTACACGGAGCACCAACCTGACAGAATAATTTTAGAGTACAATAACTGCAGGGAGATCCAGGTAGCTGAACACACACACACAACCAGGAAGCAAGAGAGAGTGAAAAGACAAAACGAGAGAAACAAAGGTAGAGCACAGAAATAAACAGTTCCATAAGCAGAGATTGCTCTGTTATTATGGCTGTCAAGTCTCTTCAAATAGATTTTAAAGGTAAACCGCCTGCCAAACCAACAGGCACAAACAACAGTTACGCCTGCACCTCCTCCGACAGCCTCTTTTCTACAAACACATTCAGCAGACAAAGACAAAGCAATGGCCTATTTCATACAATATACATTTACACTGCAAAAATAACCTGCAGTCCAATTAAATTACAATCAGTTTCTGCCTGAAATAAGTGAAACAAATTGAGTATTTTTACTAAAATTGTTGGTTTGCATTTACTGCTTATTTACTCATTTTATTGTGTACGTATTATATAGTATATATGTACAAAGACACCTTCCTTGATAAAACAATTGCTCGCGTGAGGGTCAGGTGGAATATTAATGGCATTATGGGTTTTCTTTGGAATACTCAGTGGCTGAGAAGCATTCTGAGGACATATCCAACATCATTTTACTGCAATTATTACCCATCACAGCATCAATATGTGTGTGGGTGTGTGTGTCTTTGTGTCTGAGCATGCATGCATAAGTGTTTGCCATTGATTACAAGTGTATCGTCCCTCATGAAAGGATAAACTGTGTATCTAGATGAGACAGGCAACTCGCACTGTTTTGAGTATTTTGCTCAATGACACTTTGGCAGCATGAATGGCTACTAATGGGGATCAAACCATTGACCTTTCAGCGATAAAATCAGCACTTAAAACACTTATCCACACAGTTTTTACATGTACATGGCTAACATTGACTGTAGCTGCTGCCTAGCATAACTTGTCTTGCTCTCAGAAACTCGACCGCTGTGAACAGTGAATGGTGAATGGACTGCACTTACATGGCACCTTTCTACCTTAGCAGACAAAGCGCTTTAAAATTGGCCTCTCATTCACCCAAAGTCACCACACGACACGACACACCTATGTAAGACCACCTGGCCGCTGGCCCATCGAAGGAGCAGTACAATGACCTATAACCTGTAATGATACACCAACTTTAATTAGTATCATTGGTAACACTTGTGTTTAAACTGCTATTCATGTCAAAATGGCTGCTGTGAAAAAGTTCTATTGGTGTAATAAGTAGGTGGCTTATGTTGGCTAACGTTAGCAACTCTTAGCAAACATGATGTTGACATGACTCCTGTTTACTATGTTGTATGTTGAATTGATCATCCTTTCATCCTGTGATTGTGAAATGTAGCCACGATGTATTCTGTTGAGCTAAATGTTACATATGCTAAACTCAAAGTAGTATTAATAGATGGCCACTAGGGGACAGCAGAACAAGCTGTAAACACAAAATGGACATACTATCTCATTATAAAGTTGAACATGTTAGCAACAGTTGCCTATTTAACCATCTAGCAAATTCCTAGTTCCTCAAAAAAACATGCTCTTTAGCTGCTAAAGGGAAAGGTTAGATTGAACCAAAACAGTAAAGTTGCCAAAATAAAGCTCAAAGGTGGTAAAACGTTTCATAGAACTGAAGAGAAACTGAAGAGTCTGGTAGTAATTATCTGTCGGTTTGTCACTATCGACTACATTAAATATGGTAATTGACTCACTCATGATATAAAATACTGATTTGTGGCAAACAGTACAGTTTTGTCACAAATCATATTAGGTGACCATGAAGAAAAATCACTGAATCGCAATTACGTTACCATTTTTTGTGCTAGTCAACAGTATGTTAACCAAAAAATTTAAGATTAACTGGTCATTCAGACAAGCCTGAGATCCTGCATAATGTTAAAGCACATTTACACCACAGAGGACACTTTTCTAACTGAAAATATGAATTACTGAGTTCTGTAAATTGTAGTACATTTGGCAAAATTGCACTAAATTGTAAAAATTGCATAACTGTCTGATATTTTTGCTTGTAACCGTGTAGCCTTATTAGCCACAATCACCTCTCTCATCTGTTTATTACCTCATTTTGTAGTTTCCCCCGAAAAAGAAAATGACAATAAATCACTGGGCCATGCGTCAATGAACTGAATGGAAAAATCCTTAGTACACACCAACCTTTCATTCTCACTTTTACAATCTGGATGACGGAGTGATTTTCTCAGCAGATGTCAGTTAATGGCTATGTCAGTTCTTCATTTTTTTAAATCAAAACTTTACTGGTGACTCTGCTGCCTGTGAGATAAAACTCCTCATCTCTCAGTAGCCTATAAAACTCAGCAGGGTAGTGGCAGCAGAAGGACACTGCCACCTCTGGGGAGGCAGATAACCTGCACTTTATACAACCGGATGATTATTACCTCTTTATGGGCAGAGAAAGCTCTTCCTGAAGACAGGTGCTTATCATTTACAAGCGCATTACGAACATCCCTGGGGATGAGTTCAATCATTATTACTTAACCCGGATAACGCTGAGGACAAGAAGCCTGCATCAGGAACATAAGTCAGTGCAGCTTGTTTGACAGGCTGAGCAGCTGAGAGATACACTGTACACCTTGCAGTATGAAGGCTTGTATAACTTCCACCAGTGTCTTGCATGGGGAGCATGTGGACTTTAACAGGCTGTAAGGCAGAATATGATGTTCTGAGACAATGTGGTGCTCTGATAAATGTGCTGCTATTAAAGGTGTGCCCTCCACATGAGGACTCACAGGGAGGAAACATTACTCATACTTGTGTGCACATACACTATGATGGATGCTAATATTTTTCAGATGTCAAATAAATATTGTAAGTAATGCTGTTTTTCCCCAGAATTCTTTTTAAGTTAGAAACACAATTTACCATTTAAAGACACTCAAGCCTTTTGCCACACACATGCATACTAACCTCTGGGGTAAACACCAGGGTCCATGAAGGTTGCCATGCTGAAGTTGGCCAAGACGAAGAGGAAGACCAGGCCATTGTAGAGAGGCACAGCGGGAGAGATTACCTTTGTCAACCAGGGGCACCTAGGGACACAAATGAAGGGACAGAGATTAGGATGCTTTCTGTCTATCATGTGACACATAGTCACACACATTACAGTCTCTGTTCTTTGTTATAACAACAACTGGAGAGATGATTACAGAGAGCGAATTAGAGCAAGGTAAACAGTGGATGACAGAACTTGAGCCAGCTTGATATTAATCCTAATAATATTGTAATTTTCGCTAATTAGCGGGATAACTGTGGCTCAATGTGAAATGAATTAACTAAAGTGTTAATCCTTAGCCTGAAAGGCTCCTTTAGAATTATGTGTGCAAAAAAGATGCTGTTGTTGTTTCATAAAATAAAACTAATGCATTTATCTCAAAGACCATTACTCGCTTAATTTGTGCTTCATCCTGTTCCATAGTGTTTATTTTAAAGAATAAGCAGACAAAATTAGGTTACAGCCCATCTGACCATATAAGCCAAGCTGAAACGACAGTTACAATAGTAGATGTGGTGTACTGCTTAACTGTTTTTAGCATCAACCAGTTTTTTGCCAAACCACACCAAGTGACACAAGCTAGCAAGGGGGAGAACCTTAGGCTCTCTGTAAAGACAGTTGCAGAATAATATTCAGTCAGTAGAAAAAAACAAGATTGAATTTGCAGAAGATAAGTAGATGCCACACTATTCCATCCTGAACATTCATCTGATGATTTGTACCAGGACCGACAAACCAATCAGTGTATCTGTGTGTGTCTAACGTAGCACCAGTTAGAAACAGTACACAGAGTGAAATAATGACGTTAAGCTGGTATAATGTTTACCAACATTTTTTGTTAGCATTTTAGCATGCTAATATTTGCTAAATAGCTCTAAAGACAAAAACAGGTGATGGGACTATCATTAGTTTTGCAGGCATTTGGTCAGAAAACCAAAGTATTGGACATTTTGACCTGATGAACTCGGTGGAAAGTTAAAGTATCCTTAAATGTGAACATTTACACCAAATTTCATGTCAATTAATCCAATAGAAATGGAAATGTTTGTACAGAATTTCACAGCAGTTCAACCTGTAGTTGAGAAATTGTAGTCTGGATCAAAGTGATGGCCCGAGTGTCATTGAGCAAAATATATCGATTGAGAACCTCCTTTAAATTCCACCAACATTTTACGTCAAGACTGACCTTCTCCACTGCCTGCAAGTCATAACTCAGTCAGCGCTGTGAAATATTCAACTGTGGAGACCCCTGAATCACACCCACAGCCCTGCTCAATCACCTGGACTCAAATGTCAAGTCGCTGTGTACCTCCTAGGGAGCTATCTTTCAAGCCAACTGTTTGTGTGGTCTCTCTAGAGATGAAACACCGTCAGAATGAAGATGCGTTAACGCCTACAGTTGGACACACTGCAGAGATCCTGCAGGTCAGAGACTTCTCCAGCTTATTCTGACGTCAAAAAGTTAATTTCCCGGTACCTGTGCCCTGAGATCATCTTCAATCCATATCCCCCCACCTGCTCTGCCAGTCCTCTTTTGCTTTGTTGAATTATTCAGAGCTGTGGCTCTAGAGAGCCACTGACAGAGAATAGAGAGGCGCTAACGGGGATGAGGTGGCCACTCATAACCAGTCTGCACTAGTCCACAGCTTTGTCAGGGCTAGTGTGGGCTCTATTCATTTTTCCAAGATATCACTGCAACATATCATGGCAATGTTGGGACCGAGTTGATTTTATACGCCTCACTGGAAAATGTAGCTCACATTATAATCAATACCTAAATAATGTATTACAAGTATATTCTAAACCCATTAAAGGCAGAGATACACTTTATTATAATTAGATAATAAGACAATAACAAGGAAATCACATGCCAAGTATTGTTTGTGATCCCATTATGAAGGCTAAAAAGTCTGAGGATGCAATGAGCCTTTAATTATCTCATCAGGGTTTTTTTGTGTTTTGTTTTTGTTTTTTTATATATATATATATTTTAGCAGTGTGGCTCTAGGGATTGCAATGTAGGTCCACCACTTTGGTCCAGACTGAAATATTAGAATCTGCTACATGGATTGGCCAGACCTCTGAAGAAAATCCACTTTTGTACTTGATGGAAAGTTAACAACTTCAACCATTATTGTCTCCATCAGTGTGCTTAATAATAATTAATTAATAATAATCATATGTTTCATACTTATATCAATCAGACATATCAGCTAAAAATGAAGAAAAAGTTCTGTCTCACAAACTAAACACTTGGTAATTTAAGTTTTGCTACCACTTTTTCTCTAAATGCAGTTTCAGTGGCTTATTTTATGGCACATATTTACTTTTGCAAGATAACAACCTCAAAGTACATTTCAGTGGAATTGCCAAATACGCAGGAGACTGTAGTGAGTAGTACGGTGCTGTGTCATCACAGCTTTGGCAGCAAGTAGACAAGGTACAAACACTAAAAAAATTGATCAAAGAAAAGCAATATCATGCAGCTCCACCGTCTTACAAAATCCCAATTTACTCGCCTGTCAGAGGTTCATGTATTTTTGCCAACAGTGTGATACAGTCGAGCCAGAGAGAAGAAAAAATGGAGCGCAGCTGACAGCAACCATTTTAGGAGCCAGGGAGCAGACAGTGTGGGAGTAAAATGTGACTGAGAAAAAGTCTGATTAAGGCACAGACATTGGTTAATTGTGTAGGAGTAACAAATTACCACAGAACGCTTATCGACACTGTTTACAAGCCACTTTTACTGCTTGTGTAACCATGATACCTCAACTGGGGCAGAAAAGCCTCCGCCTTGTCAAAAAGTTTGGACCAAGTTTATAAAGCTGGGAGCTTCTGCTGCCAAAAGTGCAGTAATATAATGAGTTTGGTTGTGTCCTAGCTTACAGTCCTGAGGCTGGTCAAAGTGGAAGAAAGTCCTGGATTCACTGTGGTAATTAAAATGCCTGCAAACAGAAGCTGGAGAGGTAACGAGACGGGCACCCTCCAGCCAATCTGAATTTACAACGCCAGCTCAAAAGCCCCTGAACATGCGCAGCACACTGTCACAACAAAAGTGTAAAGATAACGTTCATGCTGAAGAATAAAATAAACGAAAATCACAGTTCAGCTCCTGGCAGAAATAAGGAAAAGAGCAAGGAAAAAAAAGATGGCTTAAAGAGGAATAATCCACAGCTCAAGCTGGCAGAGCAACACACCGTTCCCCTCACTAACCTTAATCTATATGAGGCAGACTGCTACCGAAGGGTACACCTTCCACACAGCAGCGTTCACCTTGTCTTCATACATTAGCATCAAAATTAGTTTGGACTCTCTTTCTGCAGCTTTCCTTGTAAAAGGTGTAGTGACGAATCCACAGAGAATTATCACCCGACTGCAGCTCACTTCAACTTTACAGAATATTTCAGTCTCTTTCTGCTCACTCGTTTATGGCCCCTAACTTCAACGGCCCTGTTTCCAGCTTAAGTATGCAGACAAAGTTGCCGACTAGCTGGGGAACACAGAGCCAGGTATTTCTGTCAGAAGTCGGTGGAGACCAAAAAAAGAGCTTAAAGGAGAGTGGACTTCCCAGAGGTGGAGACCTGACTGTTTGCTAAAGTCACCATAACAACTTTAGGAGCGTGTTTATAGCTTGTAGCCAAAAACTAAAATTAATAATACAAAAAAAAAGAAAAAAAGAACTTTTATTTAATGTTTTCTTTCCATCCTTTTCTGGTAAAGTCGTGTGCATTGCAGTAAAAATCAACCACCACAAACTGGGATTGGTTTCATGTAAACTGCATCTTTACCTCACGATAAAGTTGTAAAGAGGCACCAGTTTCCCCTTCTCTTGCAGGCCCCATCTCATTTCTGGATAACACAGATACTTCATCTGATATCCACCACAGAGACATACAGTGAAATCATATAATACACACAGACAGCCACAAACACTTCACTCAATTCAGCATCAGCTTAGGAGCTGAAAGGCAGAATCTTAGCCTAGGGTATCTGATAGCCTTCTCAGTCACTGCAGCAGTAGGGGTGTCTCTGGTTGAGTATTAAGATTAGAGAAAATGCCTGGGCTTTCTGGTGATGATAACCCAGCTGTCTTTCAAAAAAAAAAAAGCCTGGACACAAATCCTGTCTTAAAAACTCACCCTAAAAAACCCAGGCTTGAGCCCACTGATTAAACAGACTCTGTGTGGAACTCTTTGAAATGAAGCCTCTAACCCCGCTGCTGTGGAAAACCTATAGAGGGAGGAAAACCCTCTGTGGTCTTTGTAAAGTAAATAATTGCTTGATGAAGAACTTAAAGCTTTTTAAGGTGGTAGGACTGGTCTGTTGGCACAGTTATATCTTTAAATAAGGCACATATACCATAGAAAGCAGCCTACATGCTCGCTACACACCCCAAAGCTATTTGGCTACTCAATCTTCCTGTCCTTCATTTGCTTGCCTTTGGATCGGAGCAGAAAAAGCAGCCCTTTCCTTTGAAGTTGCTCTTATCTGTTCTTTTAGTAGCTCTGGGAGGTGGGTGGGGGGGTGGGGGGTCTTGTGTGGAGGGCAGAGTCTGAACAACCATCAAAGAGAAGAGAAGAGTCAATCCTTTTGGCACCGACACTGACGGGTTCTTAGTCCAACATGAAGGCATTTTCATCAGTTTTTGTGAATGAAGGGAGATGGACTAATATGCACAATATGTGTCTGATTCATTCAGGAGTTGAAAGCGGCTCAGTGACATTCATGTCAGTCAGCTCTAATCCATTATTATGGGCGCAATCGTTGTTTGCTTGCTTGTTAAGATTCAACGTTTTTCATTCTCTTGTTGATTAGCTGCTTTTATATCCAATCTAGAAACACAATATTGTGTGTGACAATTACAGGGGCATGCCAGTTATTTAGCATTTTACTTCCATATAATTGGGAAACTCACAAAAGACAGATTTAAAAAAAGAATGGGCATAACTGTTGCAGCAGAGGCAGAGCTCTTTTTGCAGACGTCCAGTATATTAACTTCTCATCTCGCTGCAGGATACACAAGTCTACTCCAGTGAG